AATTGTTTGAATGCACTCTATGGAGTATCTAGAGAAGGATTGTGGTGTTGGTTTACCAAATGCACGAGCACACTGTGTGTTTGAACTGTTCTTGCAAACTTGGATGTTTTTTTTGCAAGAACTAGTGATTCTGAGTATCCAAGAGGTTTTGAGAGGTTTTGTTAGAGTATTTTGTCATTCTTTTCACTGAGGATAGATGTCCTATTTATAGGAGAAGTAGAGGGTTTGTAGTCTGGTCAGAATCCAAGTTTTTGCAAACTTGCCCACTTGAAACTCAACTTGCTTGTGATGATAATTTTTCTTGGTTCAAGGGATTAAGTACAAGAGTTTCTAGGTAGAGAGCATGCTTCTACATATTGAGTGTACTTTGGAGTGTATAAGGAACGTAGGGGAATGACTCAAGGCAGATTTCAAGGAAAAAACATACTCTACCAAAGTGGAAGTGTTCACTTTATGCTATAAGTGGAATAACTTCTTGGTTTATGTCTTAAAACTTTGTGTAACCCCTCAAAATTTCATGTAACACTCTGATCAAAAGGGATCTTGCAATTAGACAACCCAAAATACCAAGATTTGTAACAAAAGATTGGTTTTGCATTATGTCATGCCAAGTTGAAACCTTGAATTTCAAGTTTTTGTACCTCAACTTCTTCTCTTCGAAACTCCTAGCTCACACATGATATGAGAGAGTCCTTGTACTTTTTGGAAAGCCTTAAACATGACCTACAACTTTCATGTTTTGAGAATTTCTTGAATCTCAAGGGATCATGGTGAAAACTAGGCTTGAAGTTGACTTAAAATTGGAGTAACAAAGTTGTCTTGAAACATTTCTAAGCGTTTTGAAATTCTTCTAAACTTTGAAGCTTCATAACTCAAAATCCAAGCATCTTTTGCTCATAGGTCACTAGGACACTTTTGTATTACACGAGGAGATCTTCAAATTTATTTTTGGAACTCACAAAATGGATGTGTGGATTGGAAGTTATGGCCTTTCAAAGTTGTCACCAAAACTATGGTTTTTCCACACTTAAATTTTTTTTAAGTTGTCTAAGTTTTCTTCTTTTGCAAGAAACCTCTCAAATATTGATTTCTCATGATCAAACTCATGTATTGAAAATATCTTGATGAAATTTGGCGTGGATGCTCTAATTTGAACCAAAAACCCTAAAAGTTAAAGAGTTGACTTTGTCAGATGAATTTTGAATCAAATGAATTCAATTGTGTGATCTTCAATGAATTTTCATCTTGAGACTTATCAAACATCATAGGTAGACTTCAATGATGTATATGAGCATGTTGAATCATGTCCCATGGCTTGGGACCATGCTTGGACCAAAAGTCAAAGGCACAATTGACTTTTCTTGACAAAGCCCTAATTTGGGGCCAGATAAAATTGGGTTTCAATTGACTTGTAGTGAGATCAATTAACACTTGATTATTTTGAAATGACCTTCTTGAATGTATGGGGACTTGATTTGATGATGATCAATCCAAAACATTAACTGATCAAGCAATAATCCTCTTGATTCCACATATGCAAAACCATAATTCAGATGAACTTCAACAACAACAAGTTTGAAACAAAGTTAGTGTTAGGAAATTGGGGTATGACACATAGTAAAGTTTGAAACAATGCTTGATGCTCTAAGATGATAATGGAATCTAAGGGGTCAAAAATTAGGGTATGACACATAGTAAAGTAAATTGTTCAACAAAAAACATAACAAAACTCCCAACCTGATGTTACATTATCAGAGTAACACCGGATACAACTAAACAACTGATAAATTTAGGAAAATAAAAATAATAACTATCACTCCTCATCCTGAATTCGGGGACCACTTGTAACAAGTATAATAATAGAGAACATAACACAAGAAATGGGTGAAAATACATTCGTATATGATAATAGTGCATAAAACAAATAGGATAGTTCACATCGATACAATCAGTCAACACAATGTACAACATACAAATTATTATGCCATGCATAAATCCTCTACTCCCATGCACGTGATACCATCCTACAACCCTAGACTGAAGTCCTACAACGTTGGATATCAGAGTTATGTTATTGAGGGATCCTTAACACTAGTCTGAAGTCCTAAGTTAATCTTCGATATACATGATGCATAATGCTATAACAAATGCAAACAATCTTCATTAGAACCTCCTACTCCCATTATCAATTATCAATCACAACACTGGACCGAAGTCCTTCAACACTAGACCAAAGTCCTACAACGCTGGATATTAGAGTTAAGCATGGCAACAAGGCAGGTAGGAGACGATTTTTACCTCCCCAATCCCAAACTCGAATCTCAAAACAATCACCGTTCTCCACCCCAATATCCATCGGAGATGGAGAATTAAAACACAAACTCGTCCCAAACGGATTCGGGTATCCCCGCCCCACCACCGTCTATTTAGTAAAATTAATTTTTTAAATAAAAATATTTATTTTTCCAAAATCAAATCACATTATAAATAATAAAATAAAATATGTCAAACGAATTTCATGCATACATTTTGAATATTTTAAGGGATAAATGCAAATCAAAATATCAAAATATTAACCACATATTTAATACTATAACTTATCAAAACTAAAATAATAAAATACATAATAAAATAAATGGGCGGGTTCGGAGTGGATACTAGTGTCCCCATTTTTTGACCCATACCCATAATCAAATTACATTATAAATAATAAAATAAAATGTATCAAAAAATTTCATGCATACATTTTGAATATTTTAAATGATAAATGCAAATCAAAATATCAAAACATTAACCACATATTTAATATTCTAACTTATCAAAACTAAAATAATAAAATACATAAAAAAATAAATTGGAGGGTTTAGAGTGGGTACTAGTGTCCCCATTACCCGATCCATACCCATATTTTATATTTGGGGGAAACCCAAACCCGAACTCAAACCTAGTCAAAACGAGTTTTCTCTGTCAAATTTGGAGCGGGTTTAGATGAACACCCGCATGTATGAGTTATGTTGCCATGCCTAATCAGAGTTATGTTAGTGAGTCATTTTCAACACTGAACCAAAGTTCTACAACACTGGATTGAAGTCCTACAACACCGATTTCTTTCGAACGTAAACATCAAACTCATCAACAATATCAAAACATCATCAAACAACCATAAATATTCAACAAGGCATGTTCATAACATCAATAAAACTCACAATTAACTCCAACAACTTCTATTCAAAGTTAAGGGTTACATGCACATCTTTTAAGATCACAAGAACATGCCTAACTTAACTTATTTGCTCATCAAACTCAACTCTAAACATTTTAGACTTAATTCTGACCATATTAATAACTCAAACTCAACTCATTTAATTCTTATACTCAATTATAAATATATTAAATAATTCAACTCATTTAATTTTCAAGCATTCTATCAATTAATAGGCCAATATATTTAGCAATTATTTGTTATAACAACTATAAAATTAATACACATAATATAATAATTTTTTGTTTGTCGACAATAGAAATGAAAATAAGTCAGACCGATAACAGAGACCTACGAGCCTAACCTACACAGGCTCAGGCCAAACCAATTTTTTTTTTAAATAGAAAAGGCATACGTTTTTTTTATAAGCTTATTAAGTTAAAAAAGTTAGGTCTCAGACCATGAAAAAAAATCTTTTAAACCTAATAGACCGACATATTTAATAAATATGAATATTTTATTATTATCATTATATTATATTTTGTACTTTGAATTAAAATGATTATCTTAAAAAACTTATGAAAATAAGATGAAAACACCTTATGAACAATGTTATAACTTATTTTAAACAAATAATCTCACAAAACTTATGATAATAGTTAAGTTAAAATAAATGAATGTAACCATAGTCTATTTAAAATAACATATTTTTATGTAGGCTAACAAATTAATTAAACTTTAGAAAGATCAGACTCAGGTTTAAAAAAAATCTATGACACACTAAAAATCAGAATTAGAGTTCAGTTTTTTTTGACAGGTCAGATTTATGATTGACAAAACCTAACTCGACGCAATCTATTTTCACTCCTAGTCGACAATGTATATATACTATATGAAAAAGAAAAATTAAAAAATAATAAAAATAAAAGAATAATATTAAATACTAATAAAAAATAAATTTAATGTAAAATATTGTTCGCTGCTCCTATTTAAAAGAAGTTTTTTTAGTTTTTAAATAAACTATTGGATATACAATATATTATTTAGTTATTCAATAGTATTTTTTTATCAAATGAAGTAAAGTAATATTTAATTTATATTAGTAAAATAATTTATTTTTTGAATATCATTTCAACGTTAATTTTTCTTCACAAAAATATCTCCTATCGGTGCGTTGAGATTTGTTGGGAACACACCTGTCTGTTATATTTTCAATGACTTATTCAGTCACGTGAAACACAGCCGTCTCGAATTACTGCGCTAAAAGAGCAGTTAATCCTTTCTTACGCTTTTTGTTCCCCTCACCCACCATAACTTGCGCCATTTCCGTCAATGATATTTACGCATCATTTTCCACCGTCCATCTATAAACTCCTCACTGATCTTCACCGTTGATCTTATCCCTTATCCTGAATTCACTTGCTGTAGAAATGAACCAATATACCAAGTGAAGCAGAATTCATCTCTTTTCTTTTCAACCCCGAGACAGAGACAGAAAGAGCCACATCCTTCCATCACAGGTTTTCATTTTCGCTATTGTTATTTATTTACTTTATGAATTTAATTCCAAGTTTTTTTTTTCATTTCAGTTAATTAAATATACGTTAAACCCTAGTGGAGTTGAATTATACTTTACGTTGGATTTTGATTTTAATGTATTATTATTGAGGTTGATGCTGTGTTTAATCATTTATTAGGTATTGATTTTTTCTGCTTACTGTTTTTAAAAGGATTTATGATGGATTAATTTTTGTGTTTATGGTAAATCTAGGGTTTTGTGAGAAGGTGAAGATTTGAGATGGATAAAGAGGGAGGAAGGGAGAAAGTGGAGAGTGGTGGGGTATCTTATGAGTTGAAGAATTCGGAAGGAGATGAGGTTTTTGAGGAGGCAATTGATCCGGTAAAGGATTTCGATGAACAGGGTGATGTTGCTGCTGCTACTACTGTTAGTACATTGCCTTCAGATTTGGTTGATGAAATTGCTGATAACGCCGAAGAACCGGATAACTTTCATGAGTCAATTGGGGTTTCTCATGAGGATGCCGGACACTTAAATGAGGAGATAGTTGAAGTGATTGCTACTCAGGAGGAGGTGCCCGAGGCTAAGGCTGGACAACTTTATAGCTCTTGTTTAGATGTTACTGAAGAGACTAAGGATGGAGTAGTATCTTGTGATGAATCCAACAGGACCAGGGATGATTTTAGTGGGGGAAAGGAGTTAGCTGATTTAAATACTGATGGAAGCATGGTATTTCAGGAGGGTAGAGACTTGGTGAATGGGAACTCTGGTTTATTGAGTGAGAAGGGGGAAGATGAGGATCTTGAATACGTGACTCCCAGACAAAATGGTGGTGTGGTTTTGGAAATTGCAAGCACGGACAAGGTGGATTATGCTATTGATGAGCTTAATACAGAATTGGGATCTGATGAAGAGATGAGAAACCAGGCTTCTGATGCCGGGTATTTGAAAGAGGGTGGCTTGGATCCTGATCTCAAAGATGAAAAGATAGAGGAACAGTGCAATGATTCAGGTGATCCTTATAATGAAATTCAAGATGATCCAGTTGAAAGATCTATAGAAATGGTGGATGAGACCATTGACATTGATATCATCGACAGTGATACAAATGGCCAAGAAATGGGAATATCTGATACAACCAAGGATGATCATGCCGGATCAAATTCAGAGCATCTGGAAACAATTGGTGAAGCAGGAGGATCTCTGGCCGTGGATGAAAGAAAAGTGATTGAAACTGCTGGAAGCTCATTCCTGTCAGAAATTTCTTTTGCTAATGAGATGCCGGCTGTTCAGGCTACTGCAGCTGATTCAGAAGAAGGGAATGCAAAGATTTACCAGTCTCAGATTTCTAAGGAAGATAATCAAGGAAAATATGAAAACTTATCTGTTGTTGAAAGAAGCAAAGTGATTGAAACAGGAGGATCTTCTCCGTCTTTGGATGAAAGAACAGTGACTGAAACTATTAGAAGCTCATCTCCATCAGAAAACTCTTTTGGTAATGAGACGCTGACTGTTCAGGCTACTGCAGCTGAAACAGGAGGATCTTCTCCAGCATTTGATGAAAGAACAGTGACTGAAACTGTTGGAATCTCATCCACATCAGAAAACTCTTTTGCTAATGAGATGCCAACTGTTAAGGCTGCTGCAGCTGATCCAGAAGAAGGGAGTACACAAGTTTACCCGTCTAAGATTTCGAATGAAGAAAGTCAAGGAAATTATAAAAAGTCATTTGTTGTTCAGGAACCTGAAAAGATACCAGAGAATAATGTGAAAGAGAAGCAATCTACTCAGATCGCTAAAGAACATGAGCTTGATTCTTTATCTGGAAAACCTGTTGCTACTAGCACCCCTCTTGATCATCCTGTTGGCCTTGGATCTGCAGCTCCATTGTCGAAGCCTGCTCCTAGGGTAGTGCAGCAGACAGGGGTGGATAGTACCAAAGAAAAGCAAACCAATCAGATCATTAATAAACAGAATAGTGAGTTTGATTCCTCATCAGGAAAATCTGTTGCTGCTAGCACCCCTCTTGATCATCCCGTTGGCCTTGGATCTGCAGCTCCATTATTGAAACCTGCTCCAAGGGCAGTGCAGCAACCACGGATGAATAATACTAAAGAAAAGCAAACCTATCAGATCACTAAAGAACAGAGTAATGAGCTTGATTCCTCATCTGGACATTCTGTTGCTACTAGCACCCCTCATGTTCGTCCTGTTGACCTTGGACCTGCAACATCTTTGTCGGAACCTGCTCCCAGGGTAGTGCAGCAGCCACGGGTGAATAATACTGTTTCTAATACACAGTCCCAAAAAATAGAAGACTCCTCAACTGTGGAGGCTGAGGAGTATGATGAGACTCGAGAGAAACTTCAAATGATTAGGGTGAAGTTTTTGCGGCTGGCTAATAGGTTTGGGCAGACACCCCACAATGTTGTTGTAGCACAAGTTCTTTATAGATTAGGACTGGCCGAACAACTTAGAGGGAGGAATGGGGGCCGTGTTGGCTCTTTTAGCTTTGATCGTGCAAGTGCAATGGCCGAGCAACTCGAATCAGCAGGTCAAGAGCCACTTGATTTCTCTTGTACAATAATGGTTATTGGAAAGACAGGAGTTGGAAAAAGTTCAACTATCAATTCTATCTTTGATGAGGTTAAATTTAAAACTGATGCTTTTCGTGTGGGAACAAAAAAGGTTCAGGATGTTGTGGGAACAGTACAGGGCATTAAAGTCCGGGTCATTGATACACCGGGACTTCTACCTTCTTGGTCAGACCAGCAACACAACGTGAAGATTCTCCACTCTGTCCAACACTTTATTAAGAAAACACCACCAGATATTCTGCTGTATCTTGATAGGTTAGATATGCAGAGCCGGGATTTTAGTGATATGCCGCTCTTACGCACGATAACTGACATTTTTGGACCACCCATATGGTTCAATGCTATTGTGGTTTTGACTCATGCAGCATCTCCTCCACCTGATGGACCTAATGGCACTCCTTCCAGTTATGACATGTTTGTCACACAGCGCTCTCATGTTGTGCAGCAAGCCATTCGCCAAGCAGCTGGTGATATGCGTCTCATGAATCCTGTATCTTTGGTGGAGAACCATTCTGCATGTAGAATTAATACTGCCGGCCAAAGAGTGTTGCCTAATGATCAGGTTTGGAAACCTCATTTGTTACTCTTATCTTTTGCGTCAAAAATTCTGGCGGAAGCAAATGCTCTTCTTAAGTTACAAGATAATCCACATGAAAAGCCCTACACAGCTCGTGCAAGAGCGCCGCCGTTACCATTTCTCCTGTCTTCCCTTCTGCAGTCAAGGCCACAATTAAAATTGCCAGAGGAGCAATTCAATGATGAGGACAGTCTCAACAATGATCTTGATGAACCATCAGATTCTGGTGATGAAACAGACCCTGATGACTTACCACCATTTAAACCTTTGACAAAGGCCCAAATCAGAAACCTTTCCAGAGCTCAAAAGAAAGCATATCTGGATGAGGTTGAGTACCGAGAAAAACTCTTCATGAAGAAACAATTAAAGTATGAAAAAAGACAACGAAAGATGATGAGGGAAATGGCAGAATCAATGAAAGATCTGCCAAGTGATTATGGTGAAAATGTCAAAGAAGAAATTGGTGGTGCAGCTTCTGATCCTATTCCCATGCCTGATATGTCCTTGCCTGCTTCCTTTGATTCTGATACTCCCACTCACCGGTATCGTTATCTTGATTCATCCAACCAGTGGCTTGTAAGACCCGTCCTAGAAACTCAAGGATGGGATCATGATGTGGGTTATGAAGGCTTAAATGTAGAAAGGCTGTTTGTTCTTAAAGAGAAGATACCTGTGTCTTTTAGTGGTCAAGTTACCAAGGATAAAAAGGATGTTAATCTTCAGATGGAAATGGCAAGTTCAGTTAAGTATGGAGACGGGAAAGCAACTTCGTTAGGTTTTGATATGCAGACTGTTGGGAAAGACTTAGCTTACACACTACGGAGCGAGACGAAATTTTGTAATTTTAGGAGAAATAAAGCAACTGCTGGTCTCTCATTTACTCTCTTGGGTGATGCCTTGTCAGCCGGAGTTAAAGTCGAAGATAAGTTAATTGCGAATAAGCAATTCGAATTGGTTATCGCTGGTGGTGCAATGACAGGGCGTGATGATATTGCTTATGGTGGCAGTTTGGAGGCCATCTTGAGAGATAAAGATTACCCTTTAGGACGCTCATTATCAACTCTTGGGCTTTCTGTTATGGATTGGCATGGAGATCTTGCTGTTGGGTGCAATTTACAATCACAAATTCCCATTGGACGGTATTCAAACCTTGTTGCACGAGGCAATTTGAACAATCGCGGGTCTGGACAAATTAGCATTCGATTAAATAGTTCAGAGCAACTTCAAATTGCTTTGATTGGCCTCATCCCTCTACTTCAGAAGGTTGTGGGTTATTCTCAACAATTGCAGTTTGGACAGTGATGGTGATGTTAGATTATGTGAGCTTTTCTGCACAGTAATAGGTAATTATTTTAAGATGGCATCTTATCTTGTTTTCTACACCAAAAATATCCTATTATTTCATTATAGGTATTGTAGTCTCTCTTGTTAGATAGTATCTTTTGGTATTTGTTTATAGTATGCTGCAGGACTCCAAGTAATGCATCTTTTTGACTTACATCTTCCATTTGCCAATGTTGTCTCTTGCCCTGGCATATTCTCAGAAGCACACTCTCTTCCATGTTAATTTGTCATCTTGTGGTCATAATGTTTTTATACCGGTTGAGTAATGTGGTTGTGAATAACTCAACCCTACAAAAGCGGCTTGTAGGGTGGGGTTTGCCCCACTTATAAAGGCATGTTCAAGTCATATATTGTCCGATGTGGAACTCTTAATAGTACCTTTAGGCTTTGTTTGGGAGTTTGGTGGGGAGGAGAGGGAAGGGCAGGGGAAGGGAGTACTTTGGGAGGAAAGTAGAAAAGAGAAAAATAGATAATTTTTTTTAATCTTTTTTGAGATTGCTTTTACAAAATGATAAATAAATGCCTGTGATTAATATATTTTTAGTATCTAGAAAAATTATAACAACATAGATAGATTGAATTTGGACAATTTATCAAAGCTCTCAAAAATCCTCCTCCAATACTGTTTATGAGTTCCCCCATACTAGAGGGATTTTGTATTAAGAAAAATTAATTCCCTAAAGCCCTCTCCTCCCAAAACTCTTCATTCATTCCACTTCATCCTTTCTTTTTTTTCAAAGCTCTCCCCTCCCCTCCTTATCTCCCAAACAAAGCTTATGGGTCTACTTTTTGGTTCTTTTCTCACATTATTGTTCATTGTTTGTTTATTCTTCGAGATTTCTCTTCTGATTTTTCCACTTTGAATGTGTTCTTTCTTCAATTTGCTCTATTTCTCAGTTGAAATTGATTTTGTTTTACTTTCCTTGTAAATTTCAGGAACAGTTTTCTCCGAGCAAGTCAATTTTGGATTTTAAATTTTTAGCAGGACATCTTATTTAGGTATCATCTTTGTTTAGACAATGTAACTATTTCGAGCTTTTCAATCTTTAATATATGAACAAGAGTAATGCAATGATTCATGATATGAACTCTTTCTTTCTCTAGTGTTCATCAAGTTAAAGTTGCTTTTTAGCAGGACATCTTATAATTTTGAAGGAGTGTTATTCTTATGGTTTTATCAATTGGTCTACTTGTCATGGATGTTAGATTCTAACAGATTAGTTATATTGGATTTGCTGTACATATATAGATGACCCGAAACGAACATACTAATAGTACTTGGAAGTTATGTTATTTTGTCTTTTTGTATTCACATCTTTAGATGGATTTATTTTAACCAGTCACATCAATAGTACTGAGTTGAAAGAATTATAAATCCAATTATATCTTTCTATTAATAGTTAAAAATAAGGATTGATGTAGATAATAATAATTTGATTGTTCCTTACTCAGCGAAATGGTTGAAAACTAAAATAGAAATTAAGATAATCGGCTTACATGCTCCATTTTCATGTTTCAGAGGCTTTCAGTAGATTTAAATAATTGATTTAAGAAAATAATTTTGGTTTCTTTTCTGCTGTTTACATTTAAACAAGTTTAAATATTTTTTTCCCACCTTCTGAAGTTATCGGCCCTCTGGCTCAGATACAAGCAAACTTAACTTCTCCCAAGAAACCAGATTTTCTGCTGTGGTGCATTCACCTGTTAAGTTTGAGTAATGTACATATAGGACTACTGATCAATCTCAGAGTTAGTCTTCCACCGATTAAAGCCTATGATTTTGTTTTCATCTAACAGTTACAAAGTAAAACATAAATATACGATACATTGCCTCCACTAGAAACAACAAAACTCCAAATGCATCTTACATGCCTGATGAAATGATACTAGAAAAAACAACTAAGCCCATATCATTTTCCTCACTTTCCTTGCTTCTAGATACAGTTTGAAACTGTTTGAAGTTTCCAAAATAGAAAAGTAAATGAAAATCCAGATAGTGAAACAAGGAAATGTGAGAGATAGAAGAGAAAAATTGTTTATAATAAATGATTTGGATTTCTTTTTTTCTTACATTGAATGATATTTTGTTTTCTCTTGATAATTTGTTGTGCTTGAGTCTATTTGTAGTTCTTTTGCTTATTGTCCGGTTATGTAACTTATAAGTAATTTGTGTTATTTTCAGTGTTGCGAACTTGGAAATCTAACTGAGGTCAATGTTTCTAGTTCATACTGAGTCTAACATTGCATTCTGCATTCCGCATCCCAAGGTAAAGGTTTTTCAGCTGAGGAACAACCATAAGTTTGGAAACCTGATGTTTTCCTGTGTTTTTAGGGAGTTTGCACTTCAGTATTGTGCTGATTAGAACTTTGGTACCATAGAACTATAAAAAAACTCTATTCTTCACACTGAATATATTTTCGTCTTTCTGTCAAGGTTTAAAGTAGAGATATCGATGTTGTGATTCCAGATAAGCATGGCAATGGCTGGAGCTGACAGTGAAGATGGCGCTAGAAAAAGTACAATGTAGAACAATTGTTTTGGAAAAGGAGGGCTCTATAGACTGGTTGTTGAAATCTATATCATACTCATGAGAAGTCACAATGATTCTTGGTGCTCTTGGGTTTTAAAACATACCGATAATTTGAGTTCAAAAATAATTTATGAAGCACGCTGTTTGCTTTATGTTCTTGGATTTGCTTAAGATTTTGATGTGATAGTTATTGGATCGTCAAATTATTGTAGATAACTCATTTTACTTGCTCAGAGTGTAGTTATTACACCTGCCTTCGGATTTACTAGTTTTACGTTAAAAGTTTTATGGTTTTTATATGTGCGTTTGATTCTATTATCATTTTTCTTTTGGTCCCTTTATGGTAAAAGGGATTAAGGACTAAGAAAGAGAAAGGCTACAATTCAATTACTCTGCAGATTTGTTGGTGTTGTAATCTTAATCCAGACTAGTAGCTTCGAGTCCCTTTTAATGCTATATGATAAAAATAGCTGATAAGTTAGTTAATTTTTTAAAGAAGAATTTATGGTCGATAGTTTGTTAACTTAACGTATGGATAATAACATTAACGATTAATTTTTTTATTTTTAGAATTTGATAAAATTGAAGGTAAAGTAATTTTATATTCCCTCCATTTTCTTTTATAAATAACATTTGATTTTTTGAGTTCATGAGTTCATTAAATAAATGATGTGTTTGGATAGTATATTCGTTATATACATTAATTATTCAATAAATTTAAAAAATTATATACATTAATTATTCAATAAATTTAAAAAGTTAAAATTTGTTTATAGAAGAGAATGAAACGTCTGCTTTTTAAAGTGATATATTAATCGTTTATATATATGGAAAGGATTCTACGATGAGAATCTAAATGTTTTATATTCTATAACGGTGGTAAAGATTCATCTACGAGGATCTAATATTTTATGGTTTTTAGATCTGTTTGGTTGGGAGTAAATGCATGGGAGAGGAAGGAAGAAAATATTTAATAATTTATGTGTTTGATTTAAATTTTTAAGAGGGGGAGGAAAGGTAGATGGAGGAGACTAAAATCTTGTTAGAATTTCTTTTTGCTTCCCTCTAATTTGGTAGGATTTGGAGGGGAGGAGAGGTGTTTCATTTTAATTATAATTATATTTACATATTTATTCTTATTTATTTATTTAAATATAAATTTAATTTATTAAAACGTTAAAAAGTCTATTTTAAATTTATTATATATATATATATATATATATATATATATATATATATATATATATATATATATATATATATATATATATATATATATATATATATATATATATATATATATATATATATATATATATATATATATATATATATATATATATATATATATATATATATATATATATATATATATATATATATATATATATATATATATATATATATATATATATATATATATATATATATATATATATATATATATATATATATATATATATATATATATATATATATATATATATATATATATATATATATATATATATATATATATATATATATATATATATATATATATATATATATATATATATATATATATATATATATATATATATATATATATATAGCATGTCAAATGAGAGGAGTAATTAATGTGAGAGATGAGAGGAGTTAATTTAAACCATTGAATTTAAATCAATGTTTCAGATTTAATTAAATAATAGTGATTAATTTTCACCTTTAGTCACTCACGTGAGAGTTTTCATTAATTAGGAAAATACAACTGATATTAATTCTCTCACTTTTCTAGCTGACTTTCTTTCTTTCCTTGAGAGTTTTTATTAATTAAGAAAATACAATTAACGTTAACTCATATTAATGTTTCCTCTAAGAAAATACATTACCTTCTTCCTCATTTCTTGTTTCTGAAAACCATTTACATATCATCTTCTTCCTCTTCTATTGTTCAGTGTTTCCTACTTTTTATCGCTATGGACAAAGTGATATCAATTGGCACTCAACTACCCAAGGTAACATCTTTTAGCTTGAAATCAATTTTTCTTTAATATTTTCTTTAACCAAAACAAAGTGTAGACAAGAAGAAATAATATATCAAATACGTATAAACATATTTGACATATTTATCATTCCCTTATGCTTTAATTTATTTAATATTTTTAGTATCCCTCATACTTAGGAAAATGATTTAATTTCTTTTTAGGTAATAAGATCGGAGATTATAAATTAATTTAAATATATTTGATATCATTGTATTATTTTGTGATTTTTAGAAAAATGAATGGGTGCCAAATTGTGATGATGAGTTAAAGCCTAAGATTGGACAAGTATTTGATACATTAGAAGAAGGTGGAGAATTTTACAAAAAAATATGCACATCATGTTGGATTTAGTGTGCGTTCATCATCAAAAACTAAAGACAAAAACGGCGTGAAGCGTTGGAAGTACTTTGTTTGCTCAAAACAAGATTATTTGCCAATGAAGACAAATGAGATGGAGCAGAGTGAATCTAATATCAAAGATAGAAGAAGGAGTCTTACTAGAGAAGGATGCAATGCAAATGTTGTTTTCAAACGAGTGGAAGAAGGTAAATATGAGTTAGTTCGATTTCATGAGATTCATACACACGCTCTTGTTTCACCTATGAAGAGACCGTTTTTAAGATCGACAAGAAAAGTGAATCCAATTCACAAGAATTTGTTACTTGCATATAGTAAGGCAAATATTGGAACATAAAAAACTTTCCACTTATTAAAAGAACAATTTGGGGGTTATCAAAATGTTGGTTGCATACAGAGAGATCTTCAAAATTATTCGAGAGATTTAAAGACGTTGATTAAAGATTCTGATGCTCATGTTTTTATTGATAACTTTAGAAGGAAGTAAGAAGTTAATCCATCATTTTACTATGCGTATCAGTTAGATGAAGAAGGCCGGCTAAAACATGTTTTTTGGGCAGATGGTATTTGTAGAAAAAATTATTCTGTGTTTAGGGATGTGATTTCATTTGATATTACGTATCATACAAATAAATATTCTATGATTTTTGCACCTTTTACTGGAATAAACCACCATAGACAATCTATAACTCTTGGAGCAGGATTTTTAGCAAATGAAAAAATTGATTCATTTATATGGTTGTTCCAAAAGTTTTTGGAAGCAATGGGAGGAAAAAATGCCAACTCTTCTAATAACTGATCATGATCCTGCCATGAAGGTAGCTATAGAAAATATTTTTACTACCTCTGCTCATAGATTTTGCATGTGGCACATAATGAAAAAAGTTTCTGAGAAAATAGGTGGTTCTATGAATGCTAATGAAGAGTTCAACACAAGTCTCAGGTCATGTGTTTGGGGGTCTGAGACACCAAATGAGTTTGAAGCTACATGGAAGTCTATAATGACCAAATTTGAGTTAGAAAATAATAATTGGGTGTCACATATGTTTGATATTCGAGACATGTGGATTCTAGCATACTTTAAAGATATTTTCTTGGCTGGGATATTGAGAACTACATCAAGGTCAAAAAGTGAGAATTCTTTTTATGGTAATTTCTTGAATCCAAATGTTAGTTTGGTTGAATTTTGGATGAGGTTTGATTTGACAACACGCTTTTATGGGACATGTGTGGTATATTTCTGAAGCATTTTATGACTTAATATATTTGTTGTATCGTTTTTGTTGTTTATGGTTGATCAATGTTTTTAATGAATGTTATTGTTAATGTTTGTTTAAAAGATGAGTTTATTATATATTATGTGGTTTAAGTGTTTTTCCAATCCCTTACCGAATATATAATATTTTAAACTGTATTAGAAAATTATGATATGATAGATAAAATTGTATTAGAAAATAAGTACACGTTCAATTCTTGACAAGTATTTTTAACAGTGTTAACTGCATGTTGTTCCTTGACTGTTAGAATTTAGTTTAATAATCCTAGATCTTCCACCACTCTTTTCTCCACTTCTAATTTTGTATGCAATATAAATAATATTTTACAAAAACAATTAGAGGTGAAGAGATGGACGGTTGAAGAACTATGATCATTAAACTAAATTTTTACTGTCAAGAATAAAATACAGATAAGGTGTTGAAGATCGCTCGTTAAATATTCAACGTGAATTTAATTCTTCTAATAAAAATTCGATTCTTAATGCTATTCCATCATTCATGCTTTCGTTCTATAAAGTTCTGGGAATTGTGGTGAATAAGCTCAAGTAAATCCAGAGTAACTTTCTATAAAGAATCTGTAAATTTTCTGCCACACAATCCTTAAACATGAGTTACAAAATTCTTTGACCAAGTACAACCATTAAGCCAAACCACTTACTAATCTCAATATTAATCAAAAGTATGATAATAAACACAAGAGAAAATAAGGAAACACCAACAAAAATTGAAAAATATAAACAAAAAATATATATAGCATCCACACCACAAATCATAATTGTAAAACGAAGTAAGAAATATAATTGAATTGTCTCTTATGATTCTAAAACTTCGTCTGCAAATAATTGACGGTATTCTTGTCCAATTGAAAAGCCTTCGTGAGCACTCCACTAGATATATCAGGTGTAGCCCCAAACACTGCATTGCCAATAGTAATAGCACCTGGATTTTGACTACTAAGAGCTGCAATGGCAACAACATTACCATATCCAGTATTTCTTTGATAGTGAATGAGCCCAATAGGAAACACAAACACATCTCCCTTTTGTAAAACTTTTGTAAAGTGACGGTTTTCCGGGTTAGAGGTGATGAATCCAACTTCTAGTGTACCTTCAAGAACAGTCAATATTTCAGTAGCACGAGGATGTGAATGAGGAGGGTTAACTCCCCATGGTGCTATATCGATGCGAGCCAAGGAGATTCCGAGTGTGTTCAATCCTGGTAGTTGAGATGCAAAGACAGGAGTTACTCTAGATCCGGCAGGGTTAGTGGTATTGCCAGCTATGTGAAGACCACTGAAGAAGAAGTCATTTGCCTCAACAAGTTTAGAATCTTTGCACACAGAATTACCTAGCATTGCCATATTTGATAAAACAGAAGAAAAAATCGTTAGAATTTCAATTTAATAACCATATTGTATATGAAAATGTTCAAAGATTTTTTCATGGATATATTTATTTATGTGAGTTGCAAGAATAAAGAAAATGTGAATTATACCTTGGGCTATTGGGTTTGTGACACAAAAATCTTGGAGAGTGCTAGGATCAGCTGCAAACACAACTGAAAGTGAAAAAGCTAAAGATAAAAGCAAAATTAACGAGAGATTAGCCATTTGATTAGAACGTTAAGCTTGTAAACTCTAGTAGATTTCTGAGATGGGAATTTGTAGTAACAATTGTGGTACTGGTGGATGAATACTGGCATAGCATTAAGGACTATTTATATTGAATTTGTACATGTAATTTGAAATGGTCTTCTTTTGAAGTGGTAATAGAATTAGTAACTTAATGTGTGATGTGCTGCCATTCGGCTAAAGAATATTAATTGATTAATGTAACTGATCAACATGCAACACTTCCATTTGTCAATAACATTCGAAAAAATGAATGCGAGGAAACATAAAATAATAATTGTTTTGACTCGTAATGATTGACAATGGTGTATATTTTGTATTGGAGCTAAAGTTCGTATCCTATGGGGATATTAGCAAAATTGCTCAATATTCATGACAAAGTACATACTGTCTCTTATTTTTTTTTTATCTTAAAGTATTTTAAACGATTGAAGAAAAAATTTATGCTATTTATGTTTTTTTTTTAATCTAAAAAGGAGGTGAGTGGAATGATATGGGTTGCTGTTTGTTGGTCTATTTGGTTAAGTATGAATGTGTTGTTTGTAAGTGGAATCAAATATATGAGGAAAAAAAAATGCTAATTCAAGTTAAAAATTTAACTTGGGAGGTTGAAATTTTCAAAGAATTTAAAAGTTGCACTTTAGGTTTTTGGAACTTAAATTATGTAGATTATTTTTCTAAGGCTTGTAATCCTTTGTAAAAAAATTGACTACCTTTTGTACTCTCTTAACATCATTTTGCTTGTAAAAAAAAAATCATAATATTTTCAATGTATTTAACAAATGGTATCATCGCTCTCGATGGATACAAAATCTTTTAAACGGAAAAATTACATTCTTTTAGTTAAAACTTCCAATTATTTTTCGCATCACTGTTTTATCTTCTTTTCTCTTTTTGAACTCTGCTCGTTTCAAGTCTTTACACTGATCCTCTTCACTATGCTTCACTATGACTGGATCATTGTAATTCATTCAACATGCAATTATTAGATTTAATGGTTTCTATGACGAGTAGTCAATATTAATGGAGAACTTACTTCGATTAAATGAGTATAGGTGATTGGTTGAGAATGGGATCATAGTTGCAGCTCAAGATTTAACTCAAGAATAATAGAATGTATGTCACTACAAAAACAAAGTCATTAGACACATGATTTTTACGCAACAAAGCGAAAAATCACACCACAACCATCATTTAGAGACGTGAAAAGTCTCCCAACAAAAGCCTTTGTGGCAACTCAACTGCCACGTGAAATCCCCACACAAAGTTGTCAAATGATTTTCACGTCGGAACACTTTGCCACGTGATTTTCATGAAACAACATTCTACATTGATTGCAAGTTTGATCTGGTATGTGTCAGAAGTTTGCCACGCGAAAATCACGCCACAAATTTGCCACGTGAAAATCACGCCGCAACTATCTCCATAAATTTAATATTATAAAAAAAAAATATTATATATTATGTTTTAATATATAAAAATTAATAATTTGAATTTTAAATTAAAATAAATAAATAGTATATATATTATTTATTTTGATTATATATATATATATATATATATATATATATATATATATATATATATATATATATATATATATATATATATATATATATATATATATATATATATATATATATATATATATATATATATATATATATATATATATATATATATATATATATATATATATATATATATATATATATATATATATATATATATATATATATATATATATATATATATATATATATATATATATATATATATATATATATATATATATAAACAAACAGATAAATTGAAAACTAAAATTTTTGGATTAAAAACAACAATGGGAGATCAGCCACCACAAAGTTCTACATCGGGACCTAAGAAATTAGGTAAGATGTAGATTTCTTGGTACATATGGCCCATTTGTTCGGCCATCACATCGGTATAGTCTTTGAAATCGCGGCAAAGTGGTGAGGTCAGTTCTAAGGGTGGTAAATTTTGTTATGAGAGTGTGTATCTTTGTATTGCGCTTGCCAAGAGGAGCTGAACTAGTTTGAGGGGTCTAAGGTGGTGTGGGCGACTCATCATGATTCTCTAGAATGTAACGCTAGTTTTCACGATTGTACACACTAGTCTTCTCGGGATTAGGAAGGATGAATTGGTGAACCACATCGCTTACTATTACTATCTTGTATTCATTTGGTCCCTCACGCCTCACTAAACCGCTATTCAGGTAGTGTTCTATATCTAGCAAATCGTATCCACACCAAGGGGTCAATTGAACTATTTGGTTACGTAGGCTTAAAGTTATGGCTAGATAGGTAATTGTACTGCCTACATAAATATATATATATCTTCTGATTAGCTACTATGTCTAAACCATCAAGCAAGAAAGCAACATAGTTTATAGGTCTAGACTGAAAGATACTAAATATAAAGAACAATTCCTCTCTACTCACTGGACCAATGTTCTGAGCTTTCCCAAAGAATGTCAGAGTCACAACCATCTAAAAATACTCAACGGTTGGGTTATGGATAAGGTCCTAGGTCATTTTATCATAGTCAAGTGGGTAATGTTCTGTGATCCCACCCCAGAAAAAGTCTAGTTCAAACTGCATGTCATTATCAGTGGGTACCTCATAATAGACATGAGGGTCATGTTAGAATGCTAGGAGTCGGGACAACTCACTATGGTTAAGGTGGTAGTCTCGTCCAAATTTTTTTTAATGAAACTATGCCCCTAGCTGGTCTTAATCCTAAGTTAGGGAAGTATTGGATATAGTTAAGTAACTCCAAGGTTAGGTTTTTGTAAGTGAGGTGCTTTGCAACTTAGAAGCGGTCCCAAATCATCTAACTAAACAAATATTGCACACCATCTGTGAGTCCTAAGGCTACAAGTGTATGAAAGTGAGGATATTTGGTAGGTGATATGGTTCTCTCAGTAAGTACTTTGTAGCGCCTCCTCTAGGCGTCGTTCTTGAAAATGACCTTCATATTATCTTCACGCTGCATTCTCAAATTAGTTAGTAGAAAAGTTAGTCTTTGGTGAATGAATGTGACCTGAAAGGAAACATAAATAAAGTTAGTACTGATCAATAAGTTAGTTTATCGCTTTATTTCATCGGGGAAAAGAGAGTAAGAAGAATCAAATATCGTAGGTTTCCTCCCACGCAACGCTTCATTTAATGTCGGTAGCTCAACATAGTTTCTAGCGTGCCTAGTTTTGTGAAATGGAAGGCAACTATTCTAATTTTAAGCTAGACACAATGGTAGTGCTTTAGTCGTTTCTCGTTTACAATAAATGTTTCATTGGACTGGTCCTTTATTTCAATCGCACCGTTTTGGAAAACTTTAGACACCTCGAAGGGTCCTGACCTTCTATAGCGAAGTTTTCTAGGGAAAAGTCTTAGTTGAGAATTAAAAAGAAGAACTAACTCCCATTTTTTGAAATCTATCCCTGGTATCTGCTTATCCTTCCATTTCTTAGTCCTTTCTTATATAGATTTGGGCATTTTTGTAAGCATCTAACCTTAGGTCCTCTAGCTCGTGTATGTCTAGAATTCGTTTATCGCCAGCAACCTCATAGTCCATATTCAGGGTCTTTATGGACCAATAGGCCTTATGCTCGATTTCTACTGGAAAATGGCAGAACTTACCATAAACTAGTTTAAACGGTGTAGTTCCAATAGGTGTCTTGAAAGTTTTCCTATAGGCCCACAAAGCCTCTTGCAACATTGACGATCAATCTTTTCTAGATGTAGCGGCCGTCTTTTCTAAGATTTTCTTAATCTCCCTATTGGAGATTTCGACTTGGCCACTTGTTTGTGGATGATATGAGGTTACTATTCGGTTCTCGACTCCATACTTAAGTAACCGTTTCTCAAATATTCTTGATATGAAGTGAGACCCACCGTCACTAATGACGAGTCTCAGAGTACCAAATCTAGGAAAAATATTGTTTTTAAACATTTTGACCATGACTCGCGCATCATTATTAGGAGAAGTTATCGCCTCAATCCACTTAGATACATAATCTATTGCGACAAGTATGAATTTATTTCCTAAGGATGATGGGAAAGGACCCATGAGATCAATTCCCCACACTTCAAAGACTTCTTCTTCTAAGATGTTTTTCAGAGGCATCTCGTCGCGTCGAGAGAAATTTACAGTGTAATGGCACCGATCACATTTAGTGACTGTGGTGCGGCCATGTCTCCATAAGTAAGGCCAATAAGGCCAATAAACATAAGAAATTAAAAAAAATAAAATTTTTGGATTAAAAAAAAATGGGAGATCATCCACCACGACATTCTACATTGAGACCTAGGAAATTATAGAATGTTTAGATTTCTTGGTACATATAGCCCATCTGTTCGGCCATCACATCAGTATAGTCTTTAAAAAATCGCGGCAGAGAGTGGTGAGGTCAGTTTTGAGGGTGGTAAGTTCTGTTATGAGGGTGTGTATCTTTGTGCTCGCCAAGAGGAGGTGAACCAGCTTAAGGGGTCTGGGGTGGTGTGGGCGACTCATCCTGATTCTCTAGAATGTAGCGCTAGTTTTCACGATTGTACACACTAGTCTTCTCAGGATTAGGAAGGATGAATTGGTGAACCACTTCTCTTAGGATTATTATGTTGTATTCATTTGATTCATCGCGCCTCACTAAACCGCTATTCAAGTAGTGGTCTATATCTAGCAAATCGTATCCACACCAAGGGGTCAATTGAGCTATTTGGTTACGTAGGCCTAAAGTTATGGCTAGATTAGTAACTATACCGCCTATATAAATATTCTATATATTTTGATTAGCTACTCTGTCTAAACCATCAACCAAGAAAGCGACATAGTTTATAGGTCTAGACTGAAAGATACTAAATATAAAGAACAAATCCTCTTTACTCACTAGAACAATATTCTGTGCTTTCCCAAAGAATGTCTGGGCCACAACCATCTGGAAATACCGAATGGCTGGGTTG